TCCTTATCACAAATCCTTTGAAATGTATAAGGGAGATGGTCCCATCTGGAGGTTACAACGCCTCTCTTACATTTTTACATTTTTCAGTTCAATGTGTTATGTGGAGGACTGACATGTTTTTTGACATGTTGAGAGGTCAAAAAAAAAAAAAAAAGGAGAGACCAAGCTAATTTCAATATCCTCCCTGAGAGTACTGTTGGCTGCTTGCCCTGTTGATTCTGGGAAAGCGCAAACTGTTTCTGCTTAGATCTTGTATGGATGGAAAATAAGGCAAATTTCCTTTTGTGAACAAAGCCTTTCAAGTGAATGTTTTGTCAAATTTTGTGCCACAGAATCCATTTCTTTTTTTCAAGGCTATTTGCATAAATCTGGAAGAGTATGACCCAGCTGAAGAGAATGAAGAGAATGGCTCAGGCTTTACCATGGGAGAAATGAAAACAGCGTTTGGATTTACCATGTGGGAAGATGGCGTTTTCAGTAGGCTTTAGCTAGGTCTTGTAACCTGGGTTTGTGAGATCACTTTCTGCCACTCTTGCATTCATGATATTTTAGGGCTCATTAGAGTTTGGAGGTCATTGGCAACAGCGAAGGCCTGCCCCGGTTATGGTTGTTTGCCACAAGAGCTAAGGAAATGTAGCACTACAAAAACCTCCACAATGATATGCTGAAGTCAAGCTGGCAGCCAGTTACAGGTGACATTCTTCAGCGGCCAGTCACGCTTACCAGCTTCATTAGTGACCTGGATTATGGGATGAAGCGCTCCCTTACCAAGTTTGTGGGTGATACCAAATTGGACAGGGCAGTTGTTACACTAGTGAGTAGGGCTGCCATTCAGAGGGACCTCAACAAGCTGGAGAAACCTTATGAAAATTTATGAAATTTAAAAAGGCAAGTGCAAAGTCCTGCACCTGGATAATCCTGTGGAACAGCACAGGCTGGGGGCCAGCTGGCTAAAAAGCACCTTTGCAGAAAAAAGACCAAGGGGTCCTGGGGTACAAGTTGAATGTGAATCAGCAGTAAGGTCTTGTGGCAAAGAAGGCTAAGCAGATCCTGGATGGTATTAGTAAGAACATAGCGAGCAGATCAAGGGAAGGTTTTATTCAGTATTTGGTGCTTATGAGACTGTATCTGAGTTAGTGGAATGTCCAGTTTGGGGCTCCCCAGGACTAGTCAGATGTTGATGAACAGGAGCAAGTCCAGTGAAGGGCCACCAAAGCTGATCAGGGAGCCAGAGCATGTGGCATATGGGGAGAGGCTGAGGGAGCTGTGTTTGTTCGGCCTTGAGAAGAGGATGCTTGGGGGGATCTTATTACTGTCTTCTGCTACTTAAAAGGTGGTTATACGGAAGACTCTTCTTGGAAATGCACAGCAAAAAGCCAAGAAGCAATGAACACAAGTTGCAGCAATGGAAATCTGATTAGATACAAGAGAAAAACTTCTTCACCTGGAGAGTGGTTTAGTCCTGGAACAGGTGGCAAGGGAGGCTATGGAATATTCGTCTATGGAGATTTTCAAAACTTGCCTGGACAAATTCCTGAGCAACCTGATGTAACTTCAAAGTTGGCCCTGCTTTTAGCAGGAGGTTGGATTGGATAACCTCCAGATACTGCTTCCAACTAAATTATTCCGTGGTTTATGTGCTGCAGTCCCAACAGGTGGCTCTTGTCCTGGATGCATTGTCAGTCTTAAGGTTTGCATCCGGTTCTTGTAAAAGAGTTTTTTTTTTTTTTTAATTTCTGTTCCTTACTTCCTGTGCTAGGGGATTTCATCTCCATTTGTAATTGAAGCATATAGAGTCTGTTCTGCTCTTGGCTCATTTTGGCTAGTGCATTTTGGGCTGAAGTAGCCTGCAATAGGAGCACTGAGCATTTCATCACTGATATTTGATAAGCATATATGGAGGCCTAGTCTGTGCCGTGAGAAACTGGGTGTCTAAGGCCACATATATGCTGGTATAAACTAGCAGTGCTGGGCCCTGGGCATGGATACTGGAAATAGATCATCTATACTATTAAATTGTAGCATGGTCCATAGCATGGTTAGTTGCCTTGGGCTGACTAACACTCTCCAATCCAGGAGCCCACCTCCAATCTCCAATTTCCAGGCAATCCAAGAGATTATTTGGAATTGGTTGTAGGACTGGGACCGTTCCCACCAGGTGGTGCAGGTATGACCAGTCTGTTTTGGAGAGTAAGAGTACTCAGTGGCGCTATTGTTCCACGGTGGCTGGCCTCAGGGCCAAGGAATGATCCAGGACATTGTTTCATTGACCAGTGTGCATGTAGTCAAGCAGCAAAGGCTGGGCCTGGGCAATCTTAGCATGCAGATATGAATTGCAGTGATAGGACTTCCTCTGGCAGATGGAGCTACCTGGAAAAAGCTGTGTATTTGGATGTTACAACTCAAGTTACATTTGCATTGGCAGCTGTGGCTGAGGAAGGGGCTAGAGCACTGTCCCATGACGGTCTGTAGGCAGTATGGCATGTTTTCAGTAGGTAGCATGAACGAGGTGGTCCTCTCCTGGGAAAAATGAGTTGTAGCTACTACCTGATAAAGGTAGTGTCTGGATTGTGGTCTCCTACTCTGTACACATTAGCTAGCGTGTACTAGTGAATACGATGAACCAGAGACTGTTGCCCAGCCCTAGGGCTGACTGGCCTCCTGTCTCTACAGCTAAACCGTCTACCACCTGTCTCCCCAATCCTTCTTCTTCCACCCAAAAGATCCAGGGATGTCTCCTGCAGTCAGATAATTAGGAACAACCCCGTTATATTGTTCCTGTGCACTGTCTAGAGTAATGCTAGTTGGTCTGGGCAAAATCATACTAAGGAAGTTGGTAACGCTTATACAGTGCATAATGGTGTGTCAGGGCTCAAGCCTGGTTTGGTCTCCTAGTACAGAGATAGTCATTGAAGGTAATGTGGAGGGAGATTTTGGCCTGCTCAGAACTGCACAGGAGGACAGAAGTCTTCAATACCAAGATATGATTGGCGATGTCTAGAAATGCGGGTGATATTAGTGTGAGGCTGTACCACAGAGAAAACAGCTAGAAGCATTTTCTGTGCTGAATCTACAGGTCTTGCCGCTGAACAGTCAGCCCAGTTCATTAAGGTGGAGGGCAGAGTCTGGCTTAGTTACCACTTATTCTTAAAGGAGCAGTGTCCCAAAGGGTGAGCATTTCTGGCGATGTATGTGAAGGCCTTGCTGTGCCTCTCACAGGAGCAGTAATGGGAGCTGCATGGATTATTCTCCACCCTCCCACAGAAGTAGCACGCTCCTGTGCCGGGGAGGTGAGGCCCCAGTGCAGGCAGCCTTGGAACGCAGTCTGTTTTGCGTGAGAACAATAACAAATAAAAAGAATAGACGCCTGCCATGAAATCCTGTGCAGTGCTTAGATTTGATGAGTTTCTTTAACTGGGCATTTGACAAAAAGACAATAAAGCAGGACTGCTGCATGCCAAATGTTTCCGTTGGAACCCCTGACACTTGCTGGATCAGAAATCCCCTAAGGAAGTTTGGTGGTTCAGTATGAAAATGCTCACATGGGGCCCAATTCTTTTGTCATTCGCAGCATGTGAAATAAAGTGCTGCCTTTGATTTGAGAGTAAAGATGTGTTGCCCTCTGGGCTAAGTTTTCTGTGGCTTTCCTGTGTCTGTCGTGGCTTTTGTGGTGCTAGTTCTAGCATTCAGTACCTTTTAGGGTTTGTTTTCCCTTTCCCTGCCTTGTGGTTAGTGACCAAGAGGGGTTTCTATTCCTTTCTCTTTAGCTTTTCTGCTGCTTTTAGCAACTTCTTGGTGTTGAAGAGAGTTGTCAACTTCTTGTGCTTGGTCCTGGTCGGACAATGAATGCAAACTATCAGTCTAGCACCTCAAAGTTCAAGAGTTCATTTTCACCTTAGCTGAGAAAACAGTAGCAAACAATCTGATATAAAATAATACTTGGGAAAATATTTACCTTTGCAGCTTTGTGTATTCTAAAGTCCTGATATGCCAGACATTTCTAGTTGCATGGGATAAACACAGTTAACAGAATATTTCTACTCAGATAGTAGATGGTAACATTATAGTTATTTGACCTCCTAGACCTCATTAGACTTAGAAATAGAGCATCCTCTAAGGACAGACAGGGACACTGATCACCTAACCTCTCTGCAGAATGGAGCTAGAGATGGTCACTACAGACGTGGGACAACTTTCTTGAACATAACAAAGGCTAAAAAAGCCTAAAAATGTACCCGGACTCTCCCTATCTCTTCCTCTCAAAATGAAATGAGCAAAACCTGGAAAAAAAAACCCCAGCATGCTCAAATCAAATTAGAGTTTTATCCTTCCCCAAACAAGATCACAATGTTCATCTCCTTTCCACCTATGAGGTGGGAATTTGCTACTGATGTTGCGTGTTACTGTGATGGATTGCATTATCAGACCGCTAAATAAATCTGCAGGGTTTAAATATTGTAAGTGAATATTGTAACTGTATTCATGTACTCATGTACTTTCTGTTCCTATGACAGTCTCTTAGTTTATGGGGAAGCTTGTGGCTTTTCTGGATGAATACATTGGAAAGAGATGCCCTGTACTGATCTGCTGTTGCTAGTCTCTTCTCTCTATGGCTCTGTTTCTCTGTCTGTTCAAATGAGGATACTGATACCTCTCTTAGAGTCCTTTGAGATCTTCATAGAACAAATACCAAATAAGAAGGAATTATTATTGTAGATAGATTTTTCCCTTTGACAACAAGCCATCTTATATTTGCAGCCTTCTTTCTGCTGATGAGGAGGAGCTTCTAATTCTTTGCTATTCTTTTCTGTGTTTTACAGTTTATAATTGGTTAGAAGGGTTTGAGGTGCGTACACCTTCCCATGTATGCACAAAGATCTTGAAATATTCACAGAAAGCTCATACATATCTGCTCTCATGTCTCTGCTCTCTCATATGAGTCTAGCTGTCTAAAGTGGATGGGCAAATATTCAGAAATAGGTATCCTTTTTCCCTTTTAGAGTGCCAGTCGGCTACCGCTCTCCAACTCATGATCAAGCGCTGTCATGGGAAAAGAAGTTGCAGCATATATGCCAGCACCTATGAATTTGGAGATCCTTGTTACCCTGGCATCCGAAAGCATCTTAATGTCATCTACACATGCGGTGAGCCACAAAATTCTCTTACTTTAACGGTCATTGGGGTATGTGTTTGATGAACAGCAGCCTGTGAAGAAAGGCGAGGGTTGTGATCATGCAAAAAAAGTTGTTGAGCTTCCAGCAGGCTATGCAGTTCATTGTAATTCTTATTTGCTCACATGGGAAGGCTCTGTGGATCACTTGAGTGGTTTAATTCTGACTCTTTTTCTACTCATTGGTTTAACAGAAAAAGAAAATAAAGAAATGATGTTTTATTAACCTATCCAGGACTGCATCTGCAAGGCAGCAAAAACTGGCAGCTAAAGCTATTTTGGATGCTTACAACCTGCATGTTAGTGTCCTGCTGTTTCATTTGCCTGCAACAAAGTTTTGGTTATCAATAGGCTCCTTTTTGGTTTGTTCTGTTTGTCTTTCATTTGTACGGGTAAACAAAACACACCAATCCATACTTATCTGGAGTGTTAGTAGAAGATCATCCCCGAAGTCTTCAAGTGAACATTGAAATATTTTCTTACCAAAATACTGTTATTTTGAAAAAATATATCCTCAGCTGGGAGCATTGGTCATAGTGTCAAGCAGACATTATACTCCTCCCTGACTAGTTATCCTATTTTGCTACAAATTAAAAATCGTTCCTTTCTGAGTTCTGTGGTATCAAAACAACATCAGAGCTCTCTTCCTCCATCCTTGGAGATATTGTCTCCATCTTTGGAGGTATTCAAGAGCCATCTGGACACGATTCTGGGTAACGTACTCTAGGTGACCTTGTTTGAGCAGGGGGGTTGGATTAGGTGATCTCCAGAGGTCCCTTCCAACCTCAACCATTCTGTCATTCTGTGATTCCTCTAGTGATGAAAATTCACCCATTTGCAGCTTCAGAAGTTGATATATTTGAAAATAGTTGCTTGAGGAGTTTGCTTATAAAGCTGTTGCGAGGATCGTGAACCATTAAAACACTACCCATTTCTTTCTGCGTCCTCCTGGAAGAGGAGACTGTGGTGCTGTTCTGAATCTCCTGAGCCTGTAGCAGAAGAGGTGCTGGCTGCATACTCAGACAGCACCAGATGTATGGGTCGGTCTCTAACTGCAGCATGCTGCATCTGAGAGACAGTGTTTGAGATGGAGTTACTGTACCAGTTTCTGTAGTTACAATAGCATAGCTGATGTGCAGCACCTTGAAGAGCAGAGAGAGATATCCAGGAGCATGCGGCTGTGAGTCTTTGCCTGCCTGTTGTTTCCTTTGGCAGGAGTGGCAGGAAGGTTGAAAACTTTTTCTTGGCTTGTTTGTTTTTGTTTGAAATGATGCAGTAAGAAGTAGCAAGGCTCAGTGCAAAGCCTTGTGAATTTTCTACCCAGGAATGTCATGTTGTTAGATCAGTTTCTCATAAATACTGGAGAGAAGTAGACAGAGCCCCATGATGTATTTCCAAGAGGATATCTCAAAGGTCTATGCAGTCTCATTCTCGTGTTGTGGTCCTGGTCCCAAAGTCCACTGCAAAAGACCTTAGTGATCTCTTAGTGTTGTGGAAGCAGTTCAACCCTAGGTTTCTGAGGAGCAGAGTCTCACACAATTACAACAGCTAAATTAATTATTTATTTAAATGATGGTATGATAAAGTAACAGCTTGAGCTGGGTTGCCTCTGGGGAAGGACCCAGAACAAAAGAATTCTTAAGTAATTATACTTTTTACAGTCTTATTTCCCCACCTGCCAGTGACAGTCTCTTCCAGTCTTCT